GACATATATTGGGAAATATGATTGGGGATTTTTGGGGGGAAAACAATTTTGGTGTGATAAAGCCCATTCAGGTCTGTAGATATCCCAACTAACCATTTCGGGACGATTGTTGGAGATCGGTGAATTTTGGGTGAAAACCTCATGTGTTAGGTCAACCGTTTTTCAGTCAATCCCAAGGAACGCTTGGCGTTCATTTTGACAACAGCATCTTTCTGGTTGACCAACTGGTCCTTTTGAGCAACCAAATTTTGACACAAAAATTGAGCCGCAAGAAATCAAGCATCATGGTGGTGGACAAGAGCCGAACAAATTGTGGAACATCACCAAGAAGAATGGGATGCCCCCATGCTCTAAGAACGCGCCAAACTTTTTGCTTTCAACAGATCTGATCAGGTCGCCTTTTTTACGTCATGATTCTTCGCCAGCTCAGTGAGTGATTCCTGAGCAAGCGATGGAAGCCATCGTGGTGACAAGTGGAAAGTCACAGTCCGCCACAATGAGCAACAAAGGCTGGACAAAAGAAAGCACATGTTCGTGTTCCTTTGAAAACAACCGCGCCTCGTTGCAATGATTTTTTTACTAACTTGTGTTCACTGTCAACTAACCTGTTGCTGCATTTATATATATATATGTACTTTTAGGTACTGTTGCTCATTGTAGACTATGAAGTAGTCTAGGCGTTGTCAAGCCATCTCAATCCTTGAAAAACAAAATGTAGTGATTCGCATCAAGCGTGGTCCTAGCAGGCTCTATGCGCACGGATCTGTAGCATCGCACGTTGGGTCATCATTGCGGGCACGTCTCAGGTAGTCCGGGATCACGGAAGTGCCTTCTAGCTCGCTGCAGCAATTGCTGCTCGTGATGCATGCAAATGTTTCCTTCGCGAAGTTGCAGTCACCCAGAGTGTCGTTTCTGGCCCTGTTGCAAGATTCCAATCCCAGGCCGTCACATGTAGCTGGAGAACTATCATCACTGCCACAGCCCTGTAGGGACTGTATGGTAGCTGCAATGGCAAGGGCAGTTGCGAAGGTCACGAGCGACTTTGGTGTCATCGGTGAAAGAAGTCTGCACCAGAGGTATAGGCTGCTGCTGAGATGGCTGTGGACTTGAGCACTCAGGCCGAATAACAGACTATCTCGCAACATGACAAGCCAAAGCAGGCCAAAGCAAGGATAGAAATTACATAAAATTACACAAGAGTTCACTTGGCCAAACAATCAAAGTCTGTCTGGACCTCCCTTCGGAAGTTGGACACAGCCCAAAAATTCAACATCCGCAAGAAATCAAGCATTATGGTGGTGAACAAGAGCCGAACAAATTGTGGAACATCACCAAGAAGAATGGGATGCCCCCATGCTCTAAGAAGGCACCAATTTTTTTCCTTTCAACAGATCTGATCAGGTCGCCTTTTTTACGTCATGATTCTTCGCCAGCTCAGTGAGTGATTCCTGAGCAAGCGATGGAAGCCATCGTGGTGACAAGTGGAAAGTCACAGTCCGCCACAATGAGCAACAAAGGCTGGACAAAAGAAAGCACATGTTCGTGTTCCTTTGACAACAACCGCGCCTCGTTGCAATGTTTTTTTTACTAACTTGTGTTAACTGTCAACTAACCTGTTGCTGCATTTATATATATATATAGATATATATATATATGTACTTTTAGGTACTGTTGCTCATTGTAGACTATGAAGTAGTCTTGCCGTTGTCAAGCCATCTCAATCCTTGAAAAACAAAGTGTAGTGATTCGCATCAAACGTGGTCCTAGCAGGCTCTACGCGCACGGATCTGTAACATCGCACGTTGGGTCATCATTGAGGGCAAGTCTCAGGTGGTGCGGGATCACGGAAGAGTTTTCTAGCTCGCTGCAGCAATTGCTGCTCATGATGCATGCAAATGTTTCCTTCCCGTACCGGCAGTGACCGACGACGCCAGTTTCGTTTCTGGCCATGAGGCAAGAATTTAATCCCAGGCCGTCACATGTAGCTGGAGAACTATCATCACTGCCACAGCCCTGTAGGGACTGTAGGGTAGCTGCAATGGCAAGGGCAGTGGCGAAGGTCACGAGCGACTTTGGTGTCATCGGTGAAAGAAGTCTGCACCAGAGGTATAGGCTGCTGCTGAGATGGCTGTGGACTTGAGCACTCAGGCCGAATAACAAACTATCTCGCAACATGACAAGCCAAAGCAGGCCAAAGCAAGGATAGAAATTGTATAAAATTACACAAGAGTTCACTTGGCCAAACAATCAAAGTCTGTCTGGACCTCCCTTCGGAAGTTGGACACAGCCCAAAAATTCAACATCCTCTCGGCTCATGGATCACCACTTGGCCCCCAACCCGTGAGGGCCGCAGTGCCTGGTGTGGAAAGGGTGGGGTTTCTGGTTGCAAGCTTTGGATGCCACAGGCGTAGCCTGGCATGGCCACAGTTTCTGGGTTTCATGGTTTTGTTGGGAGTCATCAAACGTGGTTTGCTGGAAAATCACCCATTTACAAATGATTTTCCCTGCTATAAACCTCCATTTAGTTCGGGGATATTCAATTGCCATGGTTGATGATCAAAGTGTAAAGGGAACAGGGCTAACCCTAGCATCATGGCTACTTGTTTCTGAAAATAACAAACTTGTTGGGGGGAAACCAATCAGGGTCGGGGCGTCGTTAGAAGAGTTGGGGGGCCATCATGTCAGGATGAAAAACCGATCCAATGTGGCAAACAGTAGTAAACCCAATTATTCACCAAACCAAAAACCAACCATAAACGGGGATCTCAAAAAGTGTATCTGCCCAAATCTGCCTCTTTCTGGATTTACAAAACCAAAATTTGGGATATCTTTGACAAATAATCTCTAGCAAACACCCAGCACGCTTGTTTTCCACGTGCTCGCAGTCTTGGACCATCTTGAGCCAAAACATATACAGGGGGCGAAATTTCAACACCCCTCCTTCAACGCTAGTGATAGTTTAACTACACTTTCGTTGGTTCTAAAGCCTTTTCTCCGCTGGTTTTTCCTTCACGGAACTCTTGGCACAGCGTTCTCATGTGTTTTTCACATGTCTCTCTACTCACAGGTTTTGTGCATGGGTCAGCTAGATTTTGTTTTGCGTTCACGGATTTAACGGTCAGGTCATTGTTCGCCACGCGGTCTTGTACCGAAAGGTATCGGGTTTGAAAGTGACGTAGTTTGCCTAGACCGCGTCTTGCAGCAGTACCTCTTGCTGCTGACGAATCGCTCAGCACGATTAAGTCGTATTTCTGACCCCAGTCTGCCATCAGCGATTTCAGACTGTGTCCTAGTGCAGCACCACGGGTAAGTGCATAAAACTCACACTCTCCACTGCTTAGCGCCATGGTTGATTGCAAGTTTGATCCATGCTTCACGCAGTGTGTTCAAATGGATATAGTGTATCCAGTTGTGCTTCGCCGGGTCAGTAGAATTCAGTAGACATCCGGCATGGTCGCTATCTGCGTGTACTTTGATCACATTTGTAGGTCGTTGTGGGTGGTACACGTCGACTACTCTTGGTCGTCCTGCCAAGTATCTTCCTAACCTTTTCAAGTCTTGCATGTCGCTTTCATTCGGTGCTTTCATCACAGCTTCACTCAGGTGTGCTCTGTCTTGCGCTAGGAATTGGGCTCTCATTACCAAACTCCTGTAGAGCGTGGTCTGCTCTGCCGTCACCAGTGGAAATCCAACCGATGCCAGCACTTCAGAACTTTTTTTCTTCTCCGCTGGTGTAGTAACACTCCTTGCATTCTGCAGGTTCAATTGTCTTAAAGAAACCCATGATTTCCAGGGCTCGGTCGCAGTGAGGTCGTTATCATTTACCCAGATTGTATGTAACGCAGAGTAATGCAGTGACATGTGTCTTGTTTTCGTCCACTAATCCCACACGGTTTTTGTCGGGGCACGAGGGTTTTTCGCAGGTCGGAAAGATGTGCGTGTGTGTGTAGGCCTTGGTGCACAAGGGACCCTGGGAGTTACCAAGAAACACGGGGGGTCCAAAATTGGATCATTGATGATCCTTGAACCCAGAGAGCGTTTTTGGCATTGAAGTATAAGTATACAACTTTTACAATGTTATTAACCATCATCAACCATTATATAACCATCATTAACCATTATTAGCCATAAAAAAAATCTATAATGTTTACGCAAAAGAAGGGCTGAACACACCCCAGGATCTTGTGGAATGGTTTATCAATCGACCCTGATCCGGAAAATCCGGGAGATCACGGACGGGAGGATTGCCGGCTTCAGCCGGAGGCTTTTTTGAGGCACAAAGGATGGCAAAATGATGCGGAAATTCGGTGGAAATTCTGTGGAAATCCAGTGGAAACTGTGTGGAAATTCCCAGCTGCACGTCCCAGGGAGATACGTTGCACATACCGTCCGAGGCGGACGTTGCTGGGAGAACCATCCCAATGTCCCGCAGTTCCCATCTGGCATCTGCTGGTGAAAATAGAACAACTGAGCAGATTGCCACTTTGGAAGGCCCAGCAGGAAAGGGACTCGCAACAAAGTAGCCGCCAGTTGTGGAATTGCCTCACTGGATCCATGTTGCACCTCGATCAAAGATATTATACATAATATATATATATAACATATCACATATATATGATATGTGAATATATATATATATATAATGTATGTATATTATAATGTGTATATATATAATAGATATAATTATATATAACATATATTAATAATGTATATACATATATACAGTATAATATATTGTATGTATATATATATATATTGTATGTGTATATATATATATATATTGTATGTATATATATATATATAATAAATTGATAATATATTGTATGCACACTCGTTTCATGGGTCTCAGAGAGTCCACATGTGTTTTTCCTTGTTTCCAAAGATCTTTCAAAGAACCCTTGCAAAAGAAAACTCAAGAAACCATGGTTACCATGGTTCCTGTTTCCTTTCACAGCAGCCCTCCAACCCCCCAGCCCTCCAACCTTGCCGCCGATCCATTGAAAAGCCCCAAAGGCTCGCAGTCGCTGCAGTGGCAGAACCCGGGGCTCGCCAGGAGCGGCGAAGCATCAATGGAACGGCCCGTGTTCTATGTTAAAACTGGAACGGCTTGGATGTGATGGGCCATTCAATTTCAAGAAGATTCGACCATAAAATGAACTTTTGTATTTTGATGGGTTTTTTTGAGTCCCCAAAAAATCACCAGTAAATTTTCTGGCACTCAACTTGGCTAATCTGAAACCCAGTGGGCCATCAATGTAACTGGGCACTTGCCAGAACCTGACACTTGTTTTTTGCTGTGAAGCTTTTTTATCTCAACAACAATGGCCACCTGGCGTCTTGGCCTCATTCTTGGCTCACTCAGGGTCTTGGCTAGATGCTGAGTCGGCCATCATCTATATGATGCTGAAAACATCGGCATTTTTGTTGTGGAAATTCATGGCATTTTTTAACCGCAGGGTTGCCGTTTTCCTCACAGGGTCGCTGACTGCTGACCATCGGTTCTACCATCGGTTCGATGTGGAAAAATCCCGTTGGGATTTCAGATCAAAAGATCCACATACCATCGGATACCATCGGATCAAGTGGATTTCCCTGTGGATAAATCCAGAAAAAAAGATCCATAGAGAGCAAAACCTAATGGTGAAACCTCAGGGCCTAGAAAAGGTGACTAATTCCACCTAGATCCAGCACCAGCACCCCAAGTGGATATTTTTCTGCGCGAGCTCCTATCGATCCAATGGTTTTTAGAATCAACAGAAGGTGAAACCTGGAATTCTGCAATATTTCAGATGGACCGCCTTGCGCGCTGCAGAAGTCGATTTCGGGCGCTGGTCAGACACCTCTATATGTGGATGTCAAATTTTGCTACTACGCAGAAGACCCGATAGAAATCAATTCTTACAGTCCCTCTAGACCAACATACCTCTGCAAACTTTCTGCAAAGCAATGGGGTGATGCTCCGCAGGAGTGGTACCTGACCTCAAATATCTTTTAACGTTCATGTTCATGCCGAGCATGATTCCCAAATAGATGATGATCATCCCCCATCATCATATATCCCCTAATAATTTTTGATGTACAATCCCCTAATCCCCAAATAGATGCTAGTAAAAGTGTACAATCCCCTAATCATCAACCATTCATCAGTTATATTCCGATCACACAGCGACAAACTGCGCGACCGCCTCGCCGAAAACTTCATCCTGCGAGAACTCTGCCCGCAGACGCCAATGCCTGGCCCCGCAACGCTGAGCCCCATGTCTCTGTGTAATGCTATGCAATGGTATGGAATGTTATAAGTGATGTTACAAGTGATACTATAAGTGATGTTTTAAGTGAGGTTATGTTATGTTATATTATGTTCTAATATGTTATGTTATGATTTGTATGTGATGTAAGGTGATGTTATGTAATGTGATGCATTGTGATGTTCTGTAATGTGATGCAATGTGACTCGATGTGATGTAACGCGATGTTCTGTAATGTGGCGCAATGTGACGTAATGTGATATGATGCAATGTGATGCAATGTGACGTGATATGATGTTGTGGAATGTGATGCAATGTGATGCAATGTGACGTAATGTGATGTAATGCGATGTTCTGTAATGTGGCGCAATGTGACGTGATGTGATGTATTGTGATGTTCTGCAATGTAATGGAATGTTGTGGTAATGTGATGTAGTGTGACGTAATGTGATGTGATGTTATAAATCATGTCATGTTTTGGTGTATTCTGGATATGGGAAATACAAAATGTTCAAATCACCAACCAGCCTACGTACGTGGGGCCTATCTCTGGGTTCGGACCCGGACTGTGTACAGAAATGAGCTTGCATCGTTACAGCAAAATAATATATATGTTCACTTACCCCAGCGGCTTTATCCGCAGTCTTTTTACGCTGACCACGGCCTCCCAGTGAGTGCCGGCCCCTGGGTCTTGTCTTAAAAACCAGGGGCGACTCCCTCTAATAAAGGGGATAAACCGCCCCTGGAGCGTCCAGGGGAATTTTTGGGAGGGGGGGGCAGGGAACAAAAATTTCCTCTGCCTATGGGGGCTTGGACCTAAACCACGGAGGGGTTACGTAAACACTAACTTGACGAGTCATGAGCGCGTTCACTTACCCCAGCGGGTTTATCCGCAGTCTTTTTACGCTGACCACGGCCTCCCAGTGAGTGCCGGCCCCTGGGTCTTGTCTTAAAAACCAGGGGCAACTCCCAATTTCAGTCACCCACCATTTGGAGAGGACTTTCTTGGACGCCCGACAAGCTTTGCCAAGGCCCGCAACCCTTTTCCGCTTGGAGCGCTGCTCCTTCAATTCCTGGATCTGCACGTAGAGCTCTTCACCTCTTACCTGCAGTTTATCCAGTACTTTCCATCCAATCTCCTCTGGTCTCCTCACATCTCTCAGCTCCTCACTGAAGTCCTTCCAGTCTTCATTGCTCAGTGCGTCTGCTTCTACATTTTCTTCTCTTCTCACCCACTCTAAGTCCAGCTTTAGATCCTTGGATCTGAGCTCCTCTGTCAGCTCCATCAATAGCAAGGTGAGGGGGAACTTCGTGCTCATGCCCTTCAAGACCGCCAAGGCATTCCCTCGGTTGTCTGTAAATGCTTTCGCTCTTGCCCTCAGGGCGGTAGATCTTCCACCTCCCCATAGCTTCACCGCAACCAACGTGGCGAGCAACTCCAACGCAGCAATCATCCTCTTTGGGTTACCACCCCTCTTCATCAGCCATGGTGCCATGACCTCATCCACCCTGAAGCTAAACCAAGCCCTAGGGCACAACTTCTTGTCGGGTGAGATTGCCAAATGCCCGCCAATGCAGGCTTCAACCTCGGAGGCCCTAGCATCGGTGTAAAAAGTCACCTCCTTACCATGACCCAGCTCCTCCTCTCTCACGGCCTCCATTCTGCCCCCTTCTTCCAGCCTGGAGCTCAGCCAGTCCAGAATGGACAAAATGGCCCAGGGGATGACCTCTCCTCTCTGTTCCCTGATGGCTGCAGCCCATACATACAGGGGACCAAGGAATGGCTTTTCCCACAAGAGCACAGTCGCAGCGAAGCCCAACCTTCCCAAGCCAGCGGCGAACTCCCTCGGGCTGACCAGCTTCTTCTCACATAACTTTCTCATCCAGCCCACCAGCCAGCCGGCCCTTCTTTCAGACAGGCCAAGTGCATACCCGCCAAAGTCGGTGGTGAGCCCAATCCACTCCGTCACCATTCCTCCTCTCTGCTTCTTCCACTTAAATGGGGACCCCAGTGCCGCCAAAATGACGAACATCAGAACCTGGCCCTTTCTTCCTTCCTTCCCAACGCCCATAGTTTCCAGATCGTCCGCATAAAGCAGGGCCTCTATCGGGACCGGCCCCACCAAATAGTGGCCCAGCCGCAGCAAGGCCCCAGAGAGTCGGGACCACCAGTAGGGCGTGGATGTTATCCCAAAAGTGCCCACCTTGTTGACGTATATCTGGTCATCCTCCTCTGACACCTTGCAGGCGAGATACCCCTGCTCATCCTCACGGTACTTGAAGCGCCTGTGGGCCTTCCCGAAGTCCCCTATTAGGGAGAACACTACTGTACATCTTTTGCACGTTCAAACTTACCCACCAGCATGCGCTTCTCCCTGCCTCCTAGGCACCTTATCCTATGGTTCACCCTGACTCCATGCGACCCATCATGGATCACCCTCTTCTTGCCTGTTATCTCATCCTCAACAAGTACTGCCAGGGCAGCCACCGCCCTTTCTTCACCAAACTTGGCTTCGAACTCTCCTCTCGACATCTTGGCCACAAGGCCCTCCCTCACTTCCTCTTCAAGGTGTTGGCGCAGATGCTCTTCGTGCTCTCTTGCCGAGGGGTAGTTGGGTTTTTCCACCATACATACTTCATGTGGATCGAACTTCAGCGCCCAGTCCACCTGCCTCTCAAAGGCGAGGGGGGTGCGGGGCAGAGGGTGCTTCACACCTAGCGGCAGGCCACTCTCAGCCTCTTTTAAGAACATGAAGTCCTTGTCACCCTGAAAGGTTGGCCCTCCGCCACCTCCATGAACTTCTCATCACCTCTCTCGCAAAACTCCCCCAGTACCTCCCGGAGGCTCTCCAGGAGTTCCTCGTTCTGCACTAGCTTGCATCCACCTTCTCCTCTTGCCATGGCAAAACACTCTCTTTCCAAAGCTACCTCGCCTCCTGCCGCGTCAACTACCAGTCCTCTCAGCTTTGCCCTCAGCTGTACCCACGCCACACAGCCTGGGCGCTTTCTCCTTCCGATTTCCCACCTGCCTGGCGACATGAGGCACCCCCCATCATGGAAAGGAACGCTTGTCCCCTTCCAGGCGCAACATCTCGGGGGGCCCATGCCACCCTTTTCCGGGGGTCGAAAGGGTCTGTGTTTTCTTCTTTGCCCTTTCCTCGCTGCTCCTCTACCCTCTGCCTCTTCGAGCCATGCTGATTCTCACCAGGGGGGCTTTCGTCGGGGGGACTCCTCTTTTTGTTCTCCTGGTTGTTCTCCTGGCCGCCCCTTTTATCACTGTTCTGCTGGAACGAGGCCAGGATCTGGGTAGCGACCCAGTCACAAAGGCCCTGCGGCCATTCCGCGGCAGATGCGGTGCGGAAAACACCGCCTTCCCGGCCTATTAGGGGCTCTCCAGTTTTCTTTGGGAGCGGTCCAAGATACCAGCCCTCTGCGTCCAGTTGTGGAAGCCCTTCAAACATTGCTGCATGGAGGGGCTTGGAGAGCCGAAGTCAAGCTGGGCAAAGACTACGCTCCGGACTCCTTCTTTTTGGAGTAATACCTGATGCTGGGGGAATTGCCACATGGACCCCGGTTTATGCGCCGGGACTCTTTCTTTCCTCGTGCGCCCCAAGTCTTCTGGTTGCTCCATGAAGGCCTTTTTATCTGGGTGCCCTAACTGCCGCTTCATCGCCTCGAAGGCGAAATCCGCCAGGATATTGCCCAGCTCTGCTTTTCTGCGCCGTTCTCCAGCGTTCCAGGTGAAACCTCTCAAGCACTCTGAAGATCTCAGAGGGAACGGTCCATCTTCATTCGCCCAGGGTGCTCGACTAAAAGTGGAGCATGGTGGTGTAATGACTAAAGCGTCTGCCAGCCCTGCCTCTATAAACTGCAGCCACTTTCGCTGCACCGCGGGCTGCGTGCAGTCTGCTTTCCGGCTATGCCGGAGGTCCACTTCAAGCACTTCCACCACACAGTGAAACTTCCTTGCAAGACGCCTCAAGCATGAGGCGAGTGAATTCTTCCTCTTCTTTCCGGAGAAGAGGTACAGCAGTGTAAAGCGCCGTCAGGCCGCCCCACCCGTGTCGGGCGGCTGCCTCTTGTTTGCCGTGCACTGGTACATGGCATGCTTGTCTGAGAAGCATATGCCACACTGGTGTGCGAACTTGCAGTTCTTTTGCTTGCACTTTTCCCCGGCCATGTTGAAACGGTAACAAATCGGGGTGCCCTCACGGTTGTGCGAAGCGCACCCTTGCATCTGCTTTCCTTTTCCACGGCCCTTGTCCTTACCACCCTTGGCTTCAAACCTTTGCTTCCTCACACCTCCATATTCTCCTGATGCTGCCGGCTGGGCTGCACTAGGCCGCTTCGCCACCAAGGCCAACGGGGTCGTGAAGTGCCTCTCCTTTGTTGTGGGGTCTCGCTAAGCAAGGCGCAATGCCTCAGGGAAAGGCGTTCCCTCCTGATTCATCCGCTTCGCCGCTTCCTTCCGTATAGCCCGCTCGTAGGCCAAAACCAGGCGGAACGGTGGCGCGGCCACCGTCATTCCATCTGCATCCCTGGCGTACAGCCCGAAGACATGTTCGCCTAGGAGGTAATCCTTGTAGTCCTCGAAGACTTTGACATACCCCCCTTGCAGTTCCGGCCTATTGGTATGGCGAAGTGCCACAATTTGGTATGCGTTGCGCATGACCGTCAGGCGCGACCTGAGGGCCTCAGGTTCCCTTTCGAGTCCCACAGCGGTATGAGGCTGTCTGGTTCTACCTCTTCTCTGCTCACCACTTCCGCCAGCTCTTCCGCCCGGTAGTCTCCTGACTCTACCTCTTGAAGCTTCTTTTCAACATATTCCTTTGCTGGTGTGGCCTTCTCATCCAGCGTCCCCACGGCCTTCTCTAGGCATTGCAAGCCACTCTGACGTCCCTACTGGCTTCCTCCATTCTTTGGTGTCCAGCTCAGCCTCCATCTCAGCCGCTCGCTGAATCCTCGTCTTGGCATTGGTCCAAGCACAGGTAACGGCGGCTACCTGCACTCGTGCCTTCAAGGAAGCCGCCTGGTCGATCCCAAGGTAATCCTTCAGGACATCCACCAGGTCGTTCACATCTTTTGCGATGTTCCCAAATTTTTCCAGCGTTGTGACCCCAGCGTGGAACCACCCCGCTATCACATCCCTCGGGACCTCGTTCCTCTCAAATAGGAACTTCAAGTCCGCATTGCCCCTTCTAAGGGCCTCCTCCTTCTGTTCTTCCGTGAGCGCAACCCTCATGGCTGCCCCCCGGCTTGAACCCTTTGAAACACCTACGGATGCGATCCACACATGTTCAAAGCACAACCAGCCTATGCAACCAGACACGCTTCCCCCCAGGTGCGACCTGGGAGGAATGGGGTGCGACCCCCGGGTGCGACCCGACTCCTGCCCATGGGCGCCATGGGGCTTCCCAAGAACGCTGCACTCAGCTGCACCTTTTCCGGGCTCTGGCTCGGTCCTGCCAGTTAGCCAAATCCGGTGGACTCACTACCGCCTACGCCTACTTGGCTATTCGCCAATGGACTACGGGCGCCCTCACACTCTACCACCTCGTCCTCAGAGTCACTTGAAGAGGACACCTTGTCTATCTCCGGCCAGCAAAGTCGGCACCTAGTCGTGTAGTTGTCCTCGCTCGGCTCATCATCGAAGAAGGCGGCTTTCTTGAACTTCCTTCTCCTTGCCATCCAGCAGCCGCCACCACCTGCCTTGTGGAGCCTCCCACGGTCTATGCGGTTGAAGACCACCACGAAACCGTCCTTCCGATCCGCCTCAAAAGGGGGCAAATATTGCAAAGGCAACAGGCCAAATATGCAGACCGGAGTCTGCACTAAGACGCTGCCACCAAAAATATTCTTAAGGCGGTAGCCAGGTGGCAGCACCGCAAATTCTTAGAAAATAACGCTGGTCAGAGCGAGAGAATTCGGTGACCAGGCCTCGCTTGAATATGGATCGACATGCAAAGCAGTCGTGTGCTCAAACTAATTGATGTGCTTTAAACTCATTACGCCCCGCGGGCAGAAGCCCTCAGAACGACTCGTCACCCACCGAGTGCTGTGCTCAAACCACCCGTCCAGCATGTCGCCGAGGTGGTGCGAAGTGCCACCGCCCCACTTCCACAGGCACTTCTCCCTCCATTATCGATCAGAGGTGGCACGGGCATGGCTTCAAAGAAGCCCGGCAGTACCCGAAGGCTGCCGTCGAGGTGCTGCCAGAGCCTCTCCCTAGTGCATCCAAAGAGGTGCCAAATCTCCATACAGGGTGCTAACGACATAGGTACTGCCGGATCCGCTAAACTTCGCCTCCCCTTCGCACGGAAGGGGGCCCGGGGGAACCACGAGGAGGTGGCGGATCACTTCCCCCGATCCGCCCTCTGCTTCTTTGGGTGCCCGGACACCTTGCTACTGGAAGAACTGTCGCTCGATGAGCTCGAGCTGTCCGCCTTCAACAGCTCCGCATCATAGACGCTCCCCAGCCGCCCCTGTCCATCGGGAGCACGGCGCCGTACGCTTGAGGTGGGCCTAAGCTTGGCCTTCCACTCATCCACTGCAGTACGGGCTTCCTCAGGATCTACCCGCCATTTCTCGCAGAGCCAAACCTTGAGGTCTTCCAGGACAGCCCCCTCGTCGAAGGCCAGGCAGCCCTCTCCTGCTTTCACCGGCTCGCCTGCATCCTGCTGACAACAGCATTGTACGTACGTACATACTGATCGGACCCCTCCGGTGTCCACCTGCCCAGCAAATCCCTGTCTGACTTCGGGATACCCAGGGCTGCCAGGCCACTCGGGAGTGTGGCCCTCTCACTATGCTCCGTCCAGAACCTGTGGGGGATAAGAGGAGCCCCACTCTTGTCCTTCAGCTCCTGCATCACCTCGGTGCTCCAGAAGACTGCTTCCTGGTATGCCATCACGTAGTCACCCACACCGAGCCCTTGGCTCACACCTGCCGGAATGAGGAAGCTGCGCGACTTACCCACTGCACTTCCCAGCACCTCGACACCAACCTGCAGCCAATCATCATCGTCTATCCATGCGCACTCCGACACATGGAACGGGAGCTCTTTGACCCGCTTTCCCCCGCCGGTCGTCTTTGTCCTCCTCAAGAGGCCTGACATCTTCTTGTCATAGCACCGAACCATGTCAACCCTCATGTGAGCAGCGTCATCGAACCGAAGCGAGGCCCACACTTTCAACAGCTTGACAAAGGCACCTGCTCTCAGCCTGTCCTCCTTCTGTTGGTCCAGCACCAGCCTCTCAAGAGCCGGCACGAAAGTGGACAAAATCCTCAGTGCGCGCCTGCGTGGAGGCGCCCCATCTTCTAACTTCTTCAGAAGATCACGCACTACCACATCCACCAGGGGGCTGGATGACAGCCACTGCCAGTCTTCGAAGCCTGCCAGACCATGATACACCTTTTCCCACAGACAGCGGAACAGATGCACCCATCCCTTCCTCTTCTCTGGCCAGCAAGTAGTCGACCAGCTGCTCCCCCTGCGACGGGAGCTTCCCATAGGTGGCAACCACCCACTTCCTGAACCCCTGCCAGTATGCAAGGTACCTCTTCACACTGGACGCTCTGAACTTCCCAAGTAGCGCCTGCCGGGTCCTCTCCGGGTTGGTTGTGGAGGTGATGCTATCCACAATTGGCGCTCCCATAAGGACGAGCTCGTCATACAGAAGACGGAGCACCTTGTCTTCTTCCGACTCACCATCCGGCCCAGCAGGCGCTGCTAACAAGGGGATCTTCTTGAGCTTTCCCCTCTTTGGCACTTGAACAGCTTCACGGCCCACCACCTTGTCACCGGAACCTGAGGGCTCCTCAGTTCCTCTCTCCATGGCAGCCACTGCATCATCAATGGCTTGCTCCCCCGGGGGCTTTGTTTGCCCCACCACTCAAGCGCACATCCAGCTCCAGGTGGTTGTAAGCATCCTGAATCTGCTCCTTGACGAAAACCACCATCCACGGCTCACATTCGATGCCCAAGCGCTCTGCCAGCTGGGTGGCCAAGACCACTTCTTCGCCCAGCTGGAGCGCTAGCGCCAGTAAGCCCGATGGCCTTCAGCAGACCCAAGATAGCCCCGGCGGCTTCTGGGCTACCCTGGGCTGCACCGTCATGCAGCGCCCCCACCATAACAAAAATTTCCTCTGCCTATGGGGGCTTGGACCTAAACCACGGAGGGGTTACGTAAACACTAACATATATATATATCCATTGCTATATATATACAGTCATATATATCCATTGCTATCGTTGAATTGTTAACTCCTTCAATAGCTGGCCACATCATCTCTGGAAAATATTTCACTGGCGCCTGACAAAAGCCAGTTTTAACATCCCACGGGGCCAAAATGGTCCAAAGGAAGGCAAATTGCACTTAAAATATCGTGTACAATCTTATACAATCTTATACAATCTTAAGAATCTTCATTTTATCTGCTTTCATGTAGAAACTCTGGCTCCTTGGCTCCCCATGCAGCGCACCTCACTCCGGCGGCGCACAGGCGCCTGCACAAGATGTCACCATGTTTCCAGATGCTTCCAGATATTCCCAAGACCTTCACAAGACCGTTTCTCCAATAGAAAAACATGAAAAAGTACCACAGAAAAACACCTGAAGTTGAGACCACCTCCGCTTTTCAAAAAAAACACCGGGTTTGCCCAAACTCTTCGCGCTGAAAACGCCTTGGAAGCTTTGTCCAAGTCGCAACCGTGCACGGCACATCTGGCACTCGAAACCAGCCATACTGCCATAATGGGAAGTGTGCAAAGTGGTTAGCATCATGGAAAAGAAATGGAAAAGAAAAAAGGCTGAAGAGCTGAAAAGTGAAATTCCTATGATATCGAGTGTCTCAGTTCTCCCCATCTTGGCAGCAGTTTTTCTGCATAGCCACCATAGAATGCCATGGTCATCGTCACCAACCGCAGTATCTGCGGAGTTTGGGAAGCAGTTGATGGAGAAGCGGAGTATACCTGTGGCTGCAAAAACATGGGTACTCCCCAAGTAGGTTTCTAGTCGGATACTTCAATGGTCCCACCAATTAAACAGCCGTTTGGGGGTTATTAATCCAGGGTTGACTTTTGTCATGTGTTTTTTTCCCGCGGTTTGGAATGTTTAGAATTGTTGATTTTCCTCATTCACAAAGATGAAAAAGGCCATCACATATGTTTAGAATTGTTGATTTTCCTCATTAAAAAGGTCATATGTATACATATATATATATATGTATATATATATGTAAATATGTATATATACATATATACATGTATACATATGTATATATATGTACATATATATATATATACGTATACAGATATATATATATATACATATATATATATATATACATATATACATGTATACATATGTATATATATATATATGTACATATATATATATATATATATATATACGTATACAGATATATATATATATACACATATATATACATATATACATGTATACATATATGTATATATACATATATATATACATACATATATATATATATATACATACATATATATACACATATATATATATGTACACATATATATGTATATAGTTGTCATATTTTATTGTCACAACTGACACATTTGTTGGGGTATATCAGCCGAGCTGCCCGAGGCTGACGCTCGGCAGGACGCTGCGAAGATAGTGCCACTCCATGTGTTCTAGGACCTGAGTTTTTTTCAATGCCCAATGGCCTTTATGGCCGTAAGGACGAAATTGGACGAAACTTCAGGGGATCTACCCCCAATTTCTGTGGTTTTAAATGTATATTTATATTTATATGTATATTTATATTTGTATTTATATTTATATTTATATTTGCATTTATATTTATATTTATATTTGTCTTAGTATTTGTATTTATAGTTATACCTATATTTATATTTGTATTTATGATTTATAATTTATATTTATATTTATATTTGTATTTGAATTTGTATTTATATCTATATTTATATTTATGTTTATATTTATTACATACATACATACATACATACGTACATACATACATACATACATAACAATACATAACAATACATAACAATACATGACAATACATAACAATACATGACAATACATAACAATACATAACAATACATAACAATACATAACAATACATAACAATACATAACAATACATAACAATACATAACATTACATAACAATACATAACAATACATAACAATACATAACAATACTGCACATTACATAACATTACATAACATTACATAACAATACATAACAATACATAACAATACATAACAATACATAACAATACATAACAATACATAACATTACATAACAATACATAACAATACATAACAACACATAACATTACATAACATTACATAACAATACATAACAATACATAACAATACATAACAATACTGCACATTACATAACATTACATAACATTACATAACATTACACAACATTGCAAAACATTACACAACATTACATAACATTACATAACATTACATAACAGTACATAACACTACATAACATTACATCACATTACATAACATTACATAACATTACATAACATTACAAAACAGCACACAACACTACATAACATTACAAAATATTACATAACATTACATAACATTACGTAACATTACATTACATATCATTACAGAACATTACAGAACATAACATTACAATACAATACAATACCATAACATACATACATAACATACATACATAACATACATACATAACATACATAACAAACGTAACATACATAACACACATAACATACATACATTACAATACATACATTACATTACATTACATTACATTACATTACATTACATACATACATTACATACACTACATACCATCCCATACCATCCCATTCCAAACCATCCCATCCCATACCATCCATACCATCCATACCATCCCATACCATACATACCATACATACCATACATACCATACATACCATACATACCATACATACCATACATACCATACATACCATACATACCATACATACCATACATACCATACATACCATGCATACCATGCATACCATGCATACCATGCATACCATGCATACCATGCATACCATGCATACCATGCATCCCATGCATACCATGCATACCATGCATACCATGCATACCATGCATACCATGCATACCATGCATACCATGCATACCATGCATACCATGCATACCATGCATACCATGCATACCATGCATACCATGCATACCATGCATACCATGCATACCATGCATGCCATGCATACCATGCATACCATGCATACCATGCATACCATGCATACCATGCATACCATGCATACCATGCATACCATGCATACCATGCATTCCATGCATTCCATGCATTCCATGCATTCCATGCATTCCATGCATTCCATGCATTCCATACATGACATACATGACATACATGACATACATGACATACATGACATGCATGACATACATGACATACATGACATGCATGACATACATTCCATACATTCCATACATTCCATACATTCCATACATTCCATACATTCCATACATTCCATACATTCCACACATTCCACACATTCCACACATTCCACACATTCCACACATTCCACACATTCCACACATACCACACATACCACACATACCACACATACCACACATACCACACATACCACACATACCACACATACCACACATACCACACATACCACACATGCCACACATGCCACACATGCCAGACATACCACACATGCCAGACATACCACACATACCATACATACCATACATACCATGCATACCATACATACCACACATACCTTACATACCATACATACCATACATATCATACATACCATACATACCATACATACCATGCATACCATACATACCATACATACCATTAAATACATACCATACCATACCATACCATTACATACATACCATACCATAACATTACATAACACACCATACCATACCATACCATACCATACCATACCATACCATACCATACATACATAACATACCATACCATACATACATAACATACCATACCATACCATACATACCATAACATACCATACCATGCATACCATGCATACCATGCCATACCATAACAAACATAACATACCATACCATAACATACATACATAACATACCATACCAAACATACATAACATACCATACCATACCCTACCCTACCCTACCATACCATACCATACCATAACATACCATACCATGCATACCATGCATACCATGCCATACCATAACATACCATACCATACCATACATGCCATACATACCATACATACCATACATACCATTACATACCATTACATACCATTACATACCATTACATACCATTACATACCATTACATACCATTACATACCATTACATACCATTACATACCATTACATACATACCATACCATACCATACCATTACATACATACCATACCATACCATTACAAACATAACATACCATACCATAACATACATACATAACATACCATACCATACCAAACATACATAACATACCATACCATACCCTACCCTACCCTACCCTACCATACCATACCATACCAACATACATACCATACCAACATACATACCATACCATAATACATACCATACCATACCAAAACATACCATACCATACCATACATACCATACCATACCATACCATACCATACATACCATACATACAACACATACCACACATACCACACATAGCAAACATAGCACACATAGCACACATACCACACACACCACACACACCACACATACCACACATACCACACATACCACACATGCCACACATACCACACATACCACACATACCACACATACCACACATACCACACATACCATGCATACCATGCATACCATGCATACCATGCATACCATGCATTCCATGCATTCCATGCATTCCATGCATTCCATGCATTCCATACATGACATACATGACATACATTCCATACATTCCATACATTCCATACATTCCATACATTCCATACATTCCATACATTCCATACATTCCATACATTCCATACATTCCATACATTCCATACATTCCATACATTCCATACATTCCATACATTCCACACATACCACACATACCACACATACCACACATACCACACATATCACACATATCACACATACCACACACACCACACATACCACACATACCACACATACCACACATACCACACATACAACACATACCACACATACCACACATAGCAAACATAGCACACATAGCATACCACACACACCACACACACCACACATACCACACATACCACACATACCACACATCCCACACATGCCACACATACCACACATACCACACATACCACACATACCACACATACCACACATACCACACATACCACACATACCATACATACCATACATACCATACATACCATACATACCATGCATACCATACATACCATACATCCCATACATCCCATACATGCCATACATACCATACATACCATTAAATACATACCATACCATACCATACCACTACATACATACCATACCATAACATTACATAACACACCATACCATACCATACCATACCATACCATACATACATAACATACCATACCATACATACATAACATACCATACCATACCATACATACATAACATACCATACCATGCCATACCATACCATGCCATGCCATACCATGCCATGCCATGCCATGCCATACCATGCCATACCATGCCATACCATACCATACATACATATACATACATAC